ACAGGAAAGGAGAAGAGAGGAGAGGACAGGAGAGGACAGGACAGGAGAGGAGAAGAGAGGAGAGGACAGGAGAGGAGAGGAGAGGACAGGAGAAGAGAGCAGAGGAGAGGAGAGGACAGGAGAGGAGAGCAGAGGAGAGGAGAGGACAGGAGAGGACAGGAGAGGAGAGGACAGGAGAGGAGAGGAGAGGACAGGAGAGGACAGGAGAGGAGAGGAGAGCAGAGGAGAGGAGAGGAGACGAGAGGAGAGGAGAGGAGACGAGAGGAGAGGAGAGGAGACGAGAGGAGAGGAGAGGAGACGAGAGGAGAGGAGAGGAGACGAGAGGAGAGGAGAGGAGACGAGAGGAGAGGAGAGGAGACGAGAGGAGAGGAGAGGAGACGAGAGGAGAGGAGAGGAGACGAGAGGAGAGGAGAGGAGACGAGAGGAGAGGAGAGGAGACGAGAGGAGAGGAGAGGAGACGAGAGGAGAGGAGAGGAGACGAGAGGAGAGGAGAGGAGACGAGAGGAGAGGAGAGGAGACGAGAGGAGAGGAGAGGAGACGAGAGGAGAGGAGAGGAGACGAGAGGAGAGGAGAGGAGACGAGAGGAGAGGAGAGGAGACGAGAGGAGAGGAGAGGAGACGAGAGGAGAGGAGAGGAGACGAGAGGAGAGGAGAGGAGACGAGAGGAGAGGAGAGGAGACGAGAGGAGAGGAGAGGAGACGAGAGGAGAGGAGAGGAGACGAGAGGAGAGGAGAGGAGACGAGAGGAGAGGAGAGGAGACGAGAGGAGAGGAGAGGAGACGAGAGGAGAGGAGAGGAGACGAGAGGAGAGGAGAGGAGACGAGAGGAGAGGAGAGGAGACGAGAGGAGAGGAGAGGAGACGAGAGGAGAGGAGAGGAGACGAGAGGAGAGGAGAGGAGACGAGAGGAGAGGAGAGGAGACGAGAGGAGAGGAGAGGAGACGAGAGGAGAGGAGAGGAGACGAGAGGAGAGGAGAGGAGACGAGAGGAGAGGAGAGGAGACGAGAGGAGAGGAGAGGAGACGAGAGGAGAGGAGAGGAGACGAGAGGAGAGGAGAGGAGACGAGAGGAGAGGAGAGGAGACGAGAGGAGAGGAGAGGAGACGAGAGGAGAGGAGAGGAGACGAGAGGAGAGGAGAGGAGACGAGAGGAGAGGAGAGGAGACGAGAGGAGAGGAGAGGAGACGAGAGGAGAGGAGAGGAGACGAGAGGAGAGGAGAGGAGACGAGAGGAGAGGAGAGGAGACGAGAGGAGAGGAGAGGAGACGAGAGGAGAGGAGAGGAGACGAGAGGAGAGGAGAGGAGACGAGAGGAGAGGAGAGGAGACGAGAGGAGAGGAGAGGAGACGAGAGGAGAGGAGAGGAGACGAGAGGAGAGGAGAGGAGACGAGAGGAGAGGAGAGGAGACGAGAGGAGAGGAGAGGAGACGAGAGGAGAGGAGAGGAGACGAGAGGAGAGGAGAGGAGACGAGAGGAGAGGAGAGGAGACGAGAGGAGAGGAGAGGAGACGAGAGGAGAGGAGAGGAGACGAGAGGAGAGGAGAGGAGACGAGAGGAGAGGAGAGGAGACGAGAGGAGAGGAGAGGAGACGAGAGGAGAGGAGAGGAGACGAGAGGAGAGGAGAGGAGACGAGAGGAGAGGAGAGGAGACGAGAGGAGAGGAGAGGAGACGAGAGGAGAGGAGAGGAGACGAGAGGAGAGGAGAGGAGACGAGAGGAGAGGAGAGGAGACGAGAGGAGAGGAGAGGAGACGAGAGGAGAGGAGAGGAGACGAGAGGAGAGGAGAGGAGACGAGAGGAGAGGAGAGGAGACGAGAGGAGAGGAGAGGAGACGAGAGGAGAGGAGAGGAGACGAGAGGAGAGGAGAGGAGACGAGAGGAGAGGAGAGGAGACGAGAGGAGAGGAGAGGAGACGAGAGGAGAGGAGAGGAGACGAGAGGAGAGGAGAGGAGACGAGAGGAGAGGAGAGGAGACGAGAGGAGAGGAGAGGAGACGAGAGGAGAGGAGAGGAGACGAGAGGAGAGGAGAGGAGACGAGAGGAGAGGAGAGGAGACGAGAGGAGAGGAGAGGAGACGAGAGGAGAGGAGAGGAGACGAGAGGAGAGGAGAGGAGACGAGAGGAGAGGAGAGGAGACGAGAGGAGAGGAGAGGAGACGAGAGGAGAGGAGAGGAGACGAGAGGAGAGGAGAGGAGACGAGAGGAGAGGAGAGGAGACGAGAGGAGAGGAGAGGAGACGAGAGGAGAGGAGAGGAGACGAGAGGAGAGGAGAGGAGACGAGAGGAGAGGAGAGGAGACGAGAGGAGAGGAGAGGAGACGAGAGGAGAGGAGAGGAGACGAGAGGAGAGGAGAGGAGACGAGAGGAGAGGAGAGGAGACGAGAGGAGAGGAGAGGAGACGAGAGGAGAGGAGAGGAGACGAGAGGAGAGGAGAGGAGACGAGAGGAGAGGAGAGGAGACGAGAGGAGAGGAGAGGAGACGAGAGGAGAGGAGAGGAGACGAGAGGAGAGGAGAGGAGACGAGAGGAGAGGAGAGGAGACGAGAGGAGAGGAGAGGAGACGAGAGGAGAGGAGAGGAGACGAGAGGAGAGGAGAGGAGACGAGAGGAGAGGAGAGGAGACGAGAGGAGAGGAGAGGAGACGAGAGGAGAGGAGAGGAGACGAGAGGAGAGGAGAGGAGACGAGAGGAGAGGAGAGGAGACGAGAGGAGAGGAGAGGAGACGAGAGGAGAGGAGAGGAGACGAGAGGAGAGGAGAGGAGACGAGAGGAGAGGAGAGGAGACGAGAGGAGAGGAGAGGAGACGAGAGGAGAGGAGAGGACACGAGAGGAGAGGACAGGACAGGAGAGGAGAGGAGAGGACAGGAGAGGACAGGAGAGGACAGCAGAGGAGAGGAGAGGAACAAAGAGGAGGGGAGGAAAGGAAAATCAACTTGACCGTAGGTTTCCTTGGAACATAAATAAAATATGTTTGATCTGGGTTTCTATCCTTTGGAACCACAAGTAGTAGCTTTATTGCTGACTCTAGTCATTCAGAAATAGAAATTAAACTTAAACACTGTGACTTGCCTGTAACAGAGGTCACTCTGTCCCCAGAGTATTCCACCATGCTTACTAATACTGAATTCAGTGGCCTCCAAGACAGGCTGAAATAGTGTAAGGCCATTTTCTGAACAGCACAACCAAGGACCGTGGAAGATGTGCCTGTCCAAATTTTAAGTACACACACACACACACACACATACACACACACACAAACATACGCAGTGCCCATGATGCTTCTAGTCTCCTTGCAAAGAGCAACTCCTCCTTCTGTCCACAGGTTGCCTGCATCACCTCAAAATATATTCCTTTCATTCTGCATTTTCCACCGCTGCTCAATTAAAGAGATTTGGGATACAGGCAACTCAGAATCATGTTTACTTATGATAAAATAAAACTCTACAGCCAGGCAAATGGTTTCAAAGCATCTCTTGAGCAGTCTGCTGGGGCAGGAGTGAAAACAGCAAGCCCTTGGGGTCTGAGTAGATGCTGCTGCAGCACAGAGATGGAGACTGCAGAGTCAGTGCAGGGAGTGGGTCTGAGGTCCTTGGGCGGGGGTCACAGGAGTTGAGCTGGAACTGCACTGAAGCCACTAAAGAACTCTGACCACCGAAGGAGACAGGGTGAGTCAAGCTGGGAATTCTGGGCTGTGACGGGCAGGCTTTCCAGAAGAGTGACAGCCAATTCCCGTCAAAACACACTCAGAGTCACTGCAAGAGCCCTGTGGGACAGAAGGGGGAGCGGTTAGCATATAGGGTACGCTGAGGGATGCCCCCCTCCTCCCCAGATCCCCCACCGCTTCACACAGAGAGGTCTGGGGCCAGGGCACACTGCCATCACTACTCCAGTATCTGTAGAAAGGTGAAACCAGTGTAAAAGGACATAACTTCAGCTGGACAGAGAGGTGTGGGGAGTGGAGAGCAGCCACCACCCTCCGGGGGAATATGGAGGGCTCAGTCTTTTTAGTAACCTCTTCCAGTCACTGCGCAATCCCTACAGAAGTTGTAACCAATATGTGGCATAAAACAGGCATCACCTTGATGACTGACACCCAAGACAGGTTTCACAGAAAAATGCCACCGTCCCACCCCCCTCCATCATTGGGGATTGAGCCCAAGGCTTTCACAGTGAATTCTGTCCCCAGCCCTTTTAAACATTTTTATCCTGAGGTAGGATCTCACTAAACTGAACAAGCTGAGCTCAAAATTACAAGCCTCCTGCCTCAGCCTCCCAGCGTGGTGGCATTACAGGGGTGCACAACCATACCCGGCCTCCCTCCAATCTAAGTCCCTGCTGCAAGACACAGGCAAGGAGCTGAGACTGTTGTAGCAGGTAGAACCATCTCCTGCCCTCTGCTCTCACACCCATGTCCCTGCTCCCCCAATGGGTCAGGGCTGAAACATTACCTGCTGGCTGAGGCCCATGAGTTCCTACAAAGAAAATCACACAGAGAAAGGTCTCATTACACACACAGCCACTCTCACACACCCCAAAGGGCAACAACATATGCAATCCAAATGCAGAGTATATTCTCTCCCACCCCGTGTACTACACGGGCTTAAGCACCCTAAGCTAAAATCTCCCAATACAAGTGAAACTGTCTCTAGAAGTAGAGAAACCAAGACTGAATCTTTTAGTCAGTAAAATCAGATTTGTATCTTGCCCAGGGTTGTCATGCCACCTACCTCCACCCCAGCCTTCTTCCTTCAGAGTCAGAAGGAAAGAGCAACCTCTGAAGGCAAAGCCTCCCAGAAACCAGGTCTCTGGTGCAGCCCATCTTTTCCATTTCCCCCAGAGCCACTTACCTTTCTGACTCCTGCGATGGATGAGAAATCCCAGTCCTAGGAAGATCAACCCCAGCACGAAGCCCCCGATGCCGCTCAGCATCTTGCTCTGTGCAGATTCAGACTGTGCCCCTGGGAAGCAAGCCTGAGAGTCAGATCTGTCCCAAACCTAACACAGTCCCTGGTGAAGACCTGAAGTCCAATCTGAGTTATAAGTGGTGAAGGTGGCAGGGGAACCTTGTTCTCTACTCTGGCCACATCTAGAAGAGGGAAGGACCGGCTAACAGATGCCTTCTCCACAGGGGCACATCTGTAACTCTGGACCCTATGATCCAAGTCATCAGCCATAGTAATCTACGCCTTAGCAGTATGGGGCTGGTTTCCAGACTCACAGTGTGTACAGCTACCTCCCAAGCACCTGGAGAGACAATTAGGTCAGGATCCTCCTCAGGCATTTGCAAGAGGCTCTGTGATTCCCAGCTCAGTGGTGACATCCAGGACAAGGAACGGAACAGATAGGCTACAGAGAGCTCTGTCCTCTATTTTATGGGACGCCCCCTCCCAGAGAAAGGACACAAGTTTCCCCTTACGCCACTCCACCGTGATGGGGCTCTGGAGGCTGGGGTGCTCCACGCGGCAGGTGTAGACGTCTCCTCGCCGGGGGGTCATCTCCAGCATCACGAGGATCTGGAAGGTCCAATCCCCGTTCCTAATAACAGGGGTGGACACGACGCCAGATGTCTCCT